AAATATTGTAAATTAGGTATTTTTTTCTTTTTAAAATTAATTATTATTATTTTTACATTCTAAGATGTTGCAGAGAAGTTGGGGGAGTGAGGAGGGGAAGGGGGAAGCGAGTAGGATGGGACGAAGGGGGGGCATGGTTGAGGCTCGTGGCACCCCCCTCATTCTGGCAGAGGAGCCCAGGAGGCTTCCAGAAGTAGCTTAGCTGGATGTGGACTTCAGGGGTGTGTGGCTGAGGCCCTTGGCTCTCCCCAACCTGGAAGCCTGCAATGCTTCTGGTGGCAGCCTGATGGTCGTCTCTGGGCTGGATGTGGACATCAGGGAGGTGTGGCTGAGGCCCTTGGCCCCCCATGCTCTAGCTTGGGCACCTGGGGTGCTTCCGGTGGCAGCCTAGTGGTCATTGCTGGGCTGGATGCAGATGTCAGGGGTGTGTGGCTGAGGCGCTCGACCCCCCAGGATCCTGGCTTGGGACCTGGGGCACTTCTGGTCCTTCTAGGTTTTATAGGTGTTCTTTGGTGGTATTAGACCTTTACTGATTAATATTAGAAATTTGTTTCTGATCTTTGGTTTTTTTTGTCTTTTCTTTCAGTTCTGTGTTGGATTATGTTACTCCCACTACTTAAACTCTATACTGGAATGAATTTATTGTCCTTTGCTTACTTCTAAACTGGGGGATCTTCCTGTGGGAACTAGCATTTGAGCCCTCTGGTTGAGCTAAATTGTGGCTTTGCTGCTGATTCTCTGGGGAAGGCTTTTTGTGTAGCCCAAGTTTTAATTGTTGACCTTGTAAGCACTTCTGGGTCTTGTGAAGTCCAATGACCCTGGGTTGTGCGGAAACTCTGGTCTGGGCCCGAGTCTTTTCAGAATACTGTACCCCTGCAGTTCTATATTCCTGACCAGTCTCCACTGAGTGGGCCTGTGCTGATTGGAGGGCAGATCAGCTGTCCTTGCTGTACCCCAGTGTTCCCCTGGTGGGCCCGTCTCCCTCAGCCCCTGCACTCCAAACCCTTCCCATGGGATGGGCTGTGCATGGGTCCCTTGCGATGACTCACCAGCCTTCAAATGGCTCCTTTTTTCAGTTGTCTGGCCCCTCACACAGGGTCTACAGTAGCCCTGTTAGTGGTCTTACTGGCCTGGGGGCCACCAAGGCCCTCTTCTCCCCTGTAGCCTCACAGCAATTTTGTATGAAGGGCACAGTTGAGGCTTTTCCCAGCTCTTGCTCCATGTGCTCACCAGGGCCAGCCTTGAAATGGCCAGGGCTCAAAACGGTGAGAGCAGTCCTCTCTTTCCCTTATCATGGCTTCTCCTGCCTTCGTGAACTCTGTAGGTCTCTCTGCCTCTTTCCCTGAGCTCTAGCAGCTGCAGCTTGGCAGTTTGTTGCTTTTTAATAGTTGTAAATTGGTTAATTGTGGGAGAAGGTGATGCTGGGGACCATCTATTCTGTCATCTTGATCAGAAGAGGGAAATGTTGTATAATATTAACAGTTGGTCAATGTGGGTGGAGGTTATATGGGTGTTTATTGTGCTATTCATTCTAATCTGTAAATTTGAAGTCTTTCAAATAAAAAGTGTGTGAGAATGGCTCGAAGGTCAGCTCTGTGCTGTGGATGGGTTTTCTCTCTACAGCCTGTTTCTTCTGTGTTTAGTCACTGCACAGGCTCAGGAGTACTTGCTCCTGTCATAGTTTGGGCTCACTTCTCTCTTGTTCTGTTCCCTTTGGAGACAGAGTCAGCATCCTCCTTGCAACTAGGCTGACCGAGGATGTGAGGAACCTCAGGGCTGTCCCTGGAACTCATTTACTCTCGAACCACTCCTCCTTGCCACCTATGTAAGAGCCATTTTTGAGAAGCAGCAGCAGTGACCAGAAGCTGACATTTGTTAAGTGCTCACTCTGTGCCAGGCACTTCATCTGCACCAGCTCAACGGATTCTCACATACCAACCTTGGTTAGCTTCTCTTATCACCTCATTTTACACACGAAGCTACAAGACTCATGCTGTTTGCAAATGGAAGAGCCAGAATTTGAAGAATCCAGGACTAATGACTCCAAAATCTTTGTTCCTGACTACGTTGAGTGGATTTCACCCTGGAGCTGCGCCACAGTTACCTGGAGAGCATTTTCAAAACACACGTGAGCAGACCTGACTCCCAGGAGTACTGAGTTATTTGGCGGGGCTCAGGCATCTGTTGCAAAGGATAGGTTTGGCTGCTTGACGTCATCCTCCATTGTCTCTCTAAACCTTGGGTAAGTTCCATCATGACCTGTCTGCTCTCCCATCACTGTTTCGATAGTGAACTCCTTTAACCTTAGGGATTTGCTTCAGCCCTTCTTTTCTGCCTATATCCCCCCCCCCCCATTTAGGTTGGCCATGGTAGCCTCAGTAAATTAGGTGTGATGGGTGTAGTTGAACTAATGAACATACCATGCATCATTCCCCACACTTGACTTGTTGTGGAGGAGTAGCAGGAACTTAGGTGAAGGTGCCTGTGGACCTCTACATAGAGTAGAGCCCTGTGACTCCTGACAAGAAACAACTTGGAAGGGAAGACAGAGGCACAAGGAGAAAGAGCAGGCTTCAGCTGTATCTCTAATATTTCACTTATTTTGTGGTTGAGTTTCAAGAGAATTATACTCAGTAAAAAAAGCTAAGCACAAAAGATGACATACTGTATTATTCCATTTCTGTAACATTCTTGATATGAAAAAATTATAGAAACAGAACATATTAGTGGTTGTTAGGTCAGGGATGAAGGGTTGGAGGGGGGTGCTACATAAAGGGCAACAGAGGAATCCTGGCAGGGATGAAAATGTTCTCTATCTCAATCGAATAGTGTAAATTTCCTGGTTGTGATACTGTACTGGAGTTTTGGAAGATTTTGCCATGGGGCAAAACTGAGTAAATACTGGGCAAACGGTACACAGGATCTCCATGTCGTTTCTTACAACTTCATATAAATCCTCAAAATAAAAAGTTAAAAAAAGAGAGGAGTATATAAAGCAAATATAATGACACCATATTAACATCTATATGGGTTTGGGGTACATGAAAATCTGTTATATTTATTATACTATTTTCATTATTTTTCAATGTTTAAAATATTTAGTAAAAATAAAACCCTCTGGAGTTACATACTCACACTCATAAGATGTATCTTCAAAAAGTTCATGTGAAACGGGTGCTATGAAAAAACCATGCATGGAGTGCAAGATATTTTTGCACCAAAATAAACTCACTCTAACGTGTTATAACATGTCTGAACAGGACCTAGTTTGAGGCATTAAGAAGGATGAGACCTCAGTTTGAAAAGCACCGCTATCAGAGCAACATGAATTCTGCTAAGATTGAAGAAAGAACAAATATCAAATTTATGGTGAAGCTTGTGTGGAAGAATGGTGAAATCATTGATGCTTTACAAAAGGTTTATGGGGATGATGCCCCAGAAGAATCAGCAGTTTACAAATGATGTCCTTTAAAATGTCCCTTCTCATTTTAAGAAGAAAAGAGATGATGTTGAAGATGAAGCCTACAGTGGCAGACCATCCACATCAATTTATAGGAAAAAAATTCATTTTTGTTTGTGCCCTAATTGAAAAGGACCAAAGACTAACAGCAGAAACAATAGCCAAAGCCACAGACATCTCAAGTAGTTCAGCATGCACAATTCCAAATGAAAAATTAAAGTTGAGCAAACTTTCCATTCAATGGGTGCCAAGACTTTTACCCAGATCAGCAGCAGATAAGAGCAGATTTCATGGAAATTTTAAACAAATGGGATCAAGATTTTGAAGCATTTCTTCAAAGAATTGTAACACATGCACAATTCCAAATGAAAAATTAAAGTTGAGCAAACTTTCCATTCAATGGGTGCCAAGAGTTTTACCCAGATCAGCAGCAGATAAGAGCAGAGATTTCATGGAAATTTTAAACAAATGGGATCAAGATTTTGAAGCATTTCTTCAAAGAATTGTAACAGAAGATGACACATGGCTTTACCAGTAAGATTCTGAAGACAAAGCACAATCAAAGCCTTGGCTACCAAGAGGTGGAAGTCATCCAGTCAAAGCGAAAACAGACTAGTCAGGAGCAAATGTCGTGGCAACAGTTTTTTGGTGATGCTCAAGGTGGTTTGCTTATTGACTTTCTGGAGGACCAAAGAACAATAACATCTGCTTATTATGAGAGTGTTTTGAGAAAGTCAGCCAATGCTGTAGCAGAAAAACACCCAGGAAAGCTTCACCAGAGAGTCCTCCTCCATTATGACAGTGCTCCTGCTCATTCCTCTCATCAAACAAGGGCAATTTTTCGAGTTTCAATGGGAAATCATTAGTCATCCACCTTACTGTGATTTGACCCTTTCTGACTTCTTTCTGGCTTCTTTTTGTTTCCTAATCCTAAAACATCTTTAAAGGGTACCCATTATTCTTCAGTTAATAATGTAAAAAAGATTGCATTGACATGGTTAAATTCCCAGCATCTGTAATTATTCAGGGATGGACTAAATGGCTGGTATCATTGCTTACAAAAGTGTCTTGAATTTGATGGAGCTTGTGTTGAGAAATAATTGAGTTTATATATTTTTATTTATCTTTCAATTCCATTTTTTCCACAAACTTTTTGAAGTCCCCTTGTGTGTATGCAGGCTTGCCCAAGACCTGTTCATGTTCCCCTCAGGCTGCTGTGATAGAAGTACAAGTCTGAGGAATTTTGTAAGGGATGGATGAGGTACTTAGCTGTGGTGCTGACCCCAGTTGAGAACCATGCTTCCAACTTTTTTCTGTCCTCATTTAGCCTCAAACATCTAATGCTCTTTGAGCTTTGGGACTTTCTACTTCCCTTCCACAGTGCTCTACTGAATCTCCTTGGCATATTATGGAAATGGGAAAAATTATACTTCTATACTTGATGATATCTACTTCTAGACTAAAAGAAGTATCACAAGGAAGGCTATCTTCTCACTAGAATCCTTCAATTTTGTGCATTATAAAAAAATAGAGACATACATACCAGAACTCATTTATTATATAGCTAAAGTACAACTTCACAACACAATCAAAAGGGACTAAACGGAACATGTACAATAGTTTAAATGTAGAAATAGAAAAGAATGCCCAAAAGGTAAGTTAGATTACAATATAATTTTAGTAATCATTAAGGAGTAAAGTGTTTCTGACACAGTGTCACTAGGACAGACTTGGCCATAGCAGATCTATTCACATGGATTCTGGATGACAATCAGAAGATATTCCTTATCTATGGAGAGACATGGACAGAATTAATTCACCCTGGAAATTAAATTTAATAAATGAATATTTAAGCTAATCTACTTTTCTCTTCATTACATGGACCCTGTACAGACCCAATGGTTTCCCCCCTTGGCTGCACATCAGAATCGTCCATTGAGCTTTTAAAGAAATACCCATTTCCCAGAGCCAGCCCCAAAGATTTTAATTTCGCTGCTATGGGGTAGAATGCCAGGCATGGATAATTTCTTTTTTAAAAGCTCTCCAAGTGATTTTAATATGCAGCGAGGGTAAGAGTACAGGTGTAGAAAAGCTTTATTTAGTTTATGGGCAATTCTGATTTGACAGATGTGCAACAGAGAAATTTGTTCTAGACTAGGCTTAGGAGCATTAGCCTGTTTTACAGTCACGTAGTAACACTGGGAATGTAATTCCTTCAAGGAAAGCAGTGCTTCTGGCAGCTGTCTCCCAGTGGATCAGGTGGATGTGCTCACCCATGGGGGGTGCTTAATACTCTACAGGCCTTGGACACCCCCCCCACTTTATCCCCAGGACAGGGGACATTTCTCCCACTCTCCAGAGAGTCTGTGTGCTAAATTCACTGAAAATGACACCTACATCTCCTACATTTTTTGATTACTAATAATAAATGCAAGTGGGCAAAATTCAATTTGTTCAAAGGTCAAATTAATTGCTAATGTGATAAAATTTTCAGGCTGGAATTTTTTTTTTTTTTTTTTTTTTT